AAATAAAAACAAAACAAGACAACAGATAGACAGAGGATAGCAAAAGCAGAACATAGGGTTACAAATCTTTCCACAGTTTTTGTTTAATTTTAGTCAGATTTTTATGGTATTCGCAACACAAATAGGTCATATAATTGCCAAAGATTAGACATATTACTAAAGAGTAACATACAAAGAAAACAAGCTGGAAAGATAAAGACGATAGATGTTTGATAGGAAAGAAGAATCAAACAACACCAGGGCATCCAGCAACCACCAACAAAGTTTCTGAACAAGACCTGACTTCCAAAGAGGAGACACAAGTGTGAAAACCCTCTTTATCTACCTCATGATGTACATCTAGCTTATTAGTGGCTACATAAAAAATCCATTTGACAGTCTAAAACAGGTATAGACTTATACAGTAGTATGATATCCTAGACTGGGCACCCCCGGGGCAGTGCCACTGACTGAAGTGTCTTTAGGCCTTTCCCAAAAGGGGGACATTTTCCGTTCAAGCATAGCAGAATTGTAAATGGGCTGACTCATGTCACACTCATAACTGTGCCTGATCTACAACAGGGAACTGCTGCTTTTTCTTTCCTGATCCTTACTATTGTCATTTTCCTCTACTTCTTTTGTATGTTTGTCACTCTCTTGTGACCTGCTATTTCCGGGGTGCCTTGATAGTCGAAGCAGACCTTGTGCTGCTGAAGCTAGAGAGGTGAGCAGTCTAAGTCTGATTCCCTGTAGAGACTTCTCTGTTGACACCCACCCCTTGGCGCTCATATGACCTTATGCAGTTGCGAGCGCCGTAAACCCCTCTACTATAAAAAAACAAAAAAACTAGACTGTGCACTCTGAGGTAATTCTGGTTCACCATGGAGCCCACCATTTGATTCTATTTGAAACCAAATGAGGAGAAAGGAGGGAAAAGTTGCTGGCGCACTCTGCTACAGTGAGCCTGGTGTTTTACTCTCCATTTGAGCCCCCAATGGTTCACACTGCAGCAGTAAAGTTTTATAGATAGCAAACAGAGGAAGTCATGGGATATCATAATTCAAGTCTACAAACACAGAACAGGATTTTAATGTCGTTAGAATAAAATGACTTTACTTACTTTCTCCTTTGTGTCTTCAGTAAGAGCAAGTTGTCCACCAGATCTGTCCATGCCCCTTGTTTGTTGCAGTGTTCACACACAAAGTGACCTGCCAATGAACTGCACATAGTAAATTTGTCCACAAACCAAAAGTTAGAGAAACAACAGTAAGATACATATATGCTTATTAGGCTACGTAGCAAAAACCTTTCTAATAGCCTGCATAGAAATAACAATTATTACTCAAATTCTGCCATACACAGAGGAAAGCCCTTTTTACTTTTATTGAATCAGAAAGCCGGGTCTCAAATGTTCATGGTAAAGAATTGAAGTGCGACAAATTAAACAATAAGCTTTCAGAAACTTGTTAAACTAAGATATAAATCAGTCTTAGTGGAGCAAGGAAGCACGCAATTTAATGTAATAAGGAAGAACAATGTCCATCGTCGTGGGCCAAGGGAGGCCAACATGGCAATACTTTGCAGCCCCTTCTTGGCACCAAAGTTGAGCGCTTGTACAGACCAAATGTTGTTCTCGTATGTACCTTTTTGCTGAAGTGTTGCTTTAGATTTTAAGTTTGTTTTTTGGGGGGCTTTTTTAATGACTTATGGGCTACTGTAGTGGAGGATCGTGACAGCTTCAGGTGGTGCTAGTTGACAAGTTGTAAATGTGATTTCAAAGTTGTACGTTGATATAAAAGAATACTTAAAACCTTTTTTTTTAAAATTTGGAATACTTAATGCAGCCCAGGCTCACCAAAACTCAGTTCCCAGCACCGGGGCAAAAATCAAAATTTCCTGCTTACTGAAAATGTTTAATGTGCCCCCCCCCCCCCCCCCCCCCCCCTTTTTTTTTTTTTTTCGGGGGCCCCATAAAAACTTACCCCCCCCCCAAAAAAAAAAACCCAACTGGTAGGCCCCTTGTGTGTGATTACATAATTTACATGCAATATCCTGTACTTTTCTTGAATTACACACGTTTAGGGTCAAAGCGGCCAGTCCTCCGATAGATTGACACACGCCCTCATTTGTTAATTTTTGGGGTTGTTAAAGTGTTGTTCTAATTTCGATGTCATTCTGTCCTGAAACCTTTATTTTTCACGTTTTTACACTTTATGTGGTTGCAAATGATGTTCTGGATGCTTAAAACAAAGCGCAAGAAAATTCTGGTGCTTTACATAAGTTACCTCTTTCAACATATTACTAAATGTCGTCACAGAGAGTTGAAAGCTTGAAAATTAATGGCAACTTTTATCATTTTTTGTGGCAAGTTCTGGCAACTTTTGGACAAAATATGGCAACAATTACAGATGCTAGATACACTCAGTCAAAAAAACTCACCAGATGTTGTGTTGATAAACAGTTTGCCATGAGATGACCCTTGAGTTGACCTTGTGATCTTGGGACATTGACTGATAATGGTGGTAAAGCCATGTTCTAATCGCATTTTCATGTCCACCAGAAACTGAAATTAAGTTGTATAATTATAAAAAATGGGAACAAACATACTGCAAACATTTTTATCATGGGTCTAAACTTAATGGGGGGCAGGGGGTGTTCCAGTGGCTTGAGTGGTTGGTGAGTTCAGGTGAGTCAAGCAAATTAAATGTCATGTCAGTGGCAAGGCTTTTATTTGGGTGGGGGGTCATTGCAGTGTGTTCTTGGGAAAGACACTATATATAACCCTAAAAAAATTATTCGCAGTTTGCAGTATTCTGTTTGTTTCGGTAAGTAAGCAGAGCTGCCAACCCCAGCCCATGAAAAAGTGTACAACTGATGTTCAGAAAGTGTAAGATTAAGAAAAAAAGTGTACAATGCTGAAACGGAAGAAAATTTGATTAGTGAGAGATACATGTCTAAAACAAATGTACAACTTTCATCTTTTTCTACACATAGCCTAAAATCCATATTGCAACTTTTTCGTAGCTGATGCTATTGAATGAAAATTGGGCAATGGGACGGACAGTAGGCCTTGACCATAGAGTTATCTCCTTTTTAAACTAGAATCCGTACGAGGTCACATGACACAGAAACTTTTGAGTTGATTGGCGGACATTTTCATTTTGGCAAAGAAGTCTGTTTACATGTGAGTGGGCATGTCTCTGCTCTTATTACGGAAAGTGTTTTATTAGATGCTAACATTGTGTTTTAATCCAAAGAGATTCTCTTAAAAGTGCAAGCATGTGAAACCTCTAGTCCCTTTCTGGATTAATGTCTTATAGCCTTAGAGACTTTCTCACAATAAATTCATCACCAGCAAACGTCTGATTAGTCTGGAAGTGGAAGACTGAAGAAAAGTAGATCAGAAAGGATGGAGCAACACTAATGTGTCTATCAGTACACTAAAAAAGCCTCCAAAGGAACCCCTCTTTCTTTTCGCTGGTAAAAATAAGATTGATAAGAATTTAGACATGTGTACCACACACAGATTAGATGCTGTGCATATAGCAAGGTCAGCACTAATCGCAG